CACCAGCTCTCCTTATTGATCATCATGAACTCAAAGCATTCACTAAATTAGTATATAGTTTGACTGGTGAAAAATTCAGCATGTTTATTGATCAAAAATTACCTGGTCAGAATTTCAACTTTCATCTAATTGGTTCAGCAAAAAAAGTCATATAAAATGCATTCTTCAATGCTCTCTAGATAATGGTTGAAATGAGCTCGATCATACTAGAGTTCAACCATCTACTAGTTTGGAACTTAAAGTAAGACCTCAGATGCTTAGTGAAGAAAAAAATAATAATTCACTAAGAATAATCGTAGGTCAGAATGTATTGCAAAAATGCGCGAAATTTGTTTTGCAAAAGTATTCTAACTATATTAGAAATTGAACAATCGAAGAAAAGGTAGAGACAAAAAAAAACTTCATATATTTCAACTGGAAAGGTCCACTAGAATACCCACTATGTAAACGTATACATGACAAGGATCAGCAGTAGTTCGGTCATGTATGTGCTAGCAGTGGAAAATTCATCATAAAATGCTTTTGGCAGAATAGTAATAAACCAGGGGAAATTTTTGAATGTGACCCATCTATTGCAGAAAAAATTCGGCAAGAAAATAAAAAATCTCTGCAATCTTTTCACAAGGTTAAGATTCTGGATTTCCCTAAAGCCTTCTTAAAATTCCCATCTTGAGTCAAGTATGATGACTCCCTTACAGCTACAGAAATGTATGAGGAGTGATATGTAAGACCATTACCTAATGAAGGCAATATTTATGTATGATCACCTTGGGAGATAGGAAAAACATATATTCTAGAGCATCTTACTATATCTGATAATGTGAATTTACTAGTTTTATTCACACGTCACTCCTATTCGAAATCTGTTACTACAAGACTTAATCTCAAATCATATTGCGATATCGATGGTAATATAAATCTTTCTGATCACAAGAGAGTTGTGTGTCAGATAGAAAGTTTACATCATATTACTAATAATTGTAAATGTAATAAAAAATGCAAATGTCTTCCAATTCAATATGACTTATGGCTTGATGAAATAGTATCTATAATTGCTCAAGTACAAAGTCGTTTAGCAGGATAATCAATAGAAAAATTATATAAATTAATTCAAGTGGCTAGACGTATTATCGTCATGGATAATGACCTTACTGATATTAACATTGAATGGATTAAGACCCTTCGTAAAAATATATCTTTCTCTATTATTCATAATACTTATTAGCCTCAGAAAGGCAAGATATTCCACTTGGCTCCTAATAAAGAAATAGTATTAGCCGAACTTTGGGATTGGGCTAAGCAGATGATTTCACTATCTTTTGAGGAACGGAAAAGCGCATCACTTATCTGCTACCTTAGAAAGGATATACAAGGGATAGTTTGTGCTCTTAAGACCGATTTTTCAGAACTAATAATTAAGGAATATCATAATAAATTAGATCCTGAGGAAAAAGGTCACAATTTTAGCAATGTAAAAGAATCATGGAAAGACTCAGACCTAATTGCTTATACTAGCACTCTAAAAATAGGAGTATCATATACCAATCCTAAGTTTGAGCGGGCATTCTGTCTTTTTAATAGCTTCATAGAAATAAACACTGGAATGAATCAAATGTTATTCCGCATGCGATGCATTAAAGATTATATATGTCACATTAAACAAAGATCGTCTAATGTTCCTATTACAAAGAAAGGATTATTCCAATGGTTGTTGAATGCCAAACATGAATGCCTCCTCTGAAAGCTTCAGAATAGAGGGGTATTTTCAGATATCAATTCTATTATTCAGAATAAAGATGTACCAACCATTTGATTGTGGGTGGCCTATATGTTAAAAAAAATTTGTTCTCAGTGTTTATTTGGTTGGAAGATGGTTGATTTCCTTCGAAAAGCTAGCATGGAAGTTTTGATCATAGAATTAGGTTCTAAATCTAAAGAAAATATATTATCGCAAGTGATAAAAGCAAATTGCACTATTATTAAAGTGGAGGAAATATCAGATATATCTAACGCTACTATTATCAATCACGAAACTACTGAATTTTTAGAGAATAAGCCAAAGAAGATCTTAGAAAAAATGCATTCTCTAGACTGGCATCATATTGTGAAATGTTATGAGATTTCTTCTGAATTATTGACCAAAGATTTTATTTCGAAATATGGAGATTTTAATCATATAAAATGGTTCAGAGCTTATAAATAGTTACGAGATGCTGATACTAATAATGAAATAGCTGTTAAGGCTATTACTCGCAAAGATTATAGAGAAAATAAACTTATCATAGCTACTCGAGCTGAGAGACATCGAATTTGTCAGGAATTACTAAGAAATTGTACACCTATTAGAGACATCGATGATAGAAGCACGATATAAAGCTAATGATGTTAAAACACACATTGATTCTCCTGAATCGATATCATATCTTCAGGATTTAGTTTCCAAAATGGCTTAAGTATTTGATAATATAGATGCATTGCGTAAAGCTAAAAAATCAGGATTAAAAACAGTTCGAGCGAAACTCGGCTTACTAAATTCAGCACTGCATGCAATATATGTATTAAAATTTAAGGCTATAAATAAGGGATGTAGGTATTATCATCTAATTGGATCTTTTGATAGTAAAGACGTTCCAAAACTTCCTTTATACCAAACAGGAAAAGAAATATATTGAAAAAATGGTAAAGATGTCCAATATGCTTATAGTAAGCTCACTTCTAATGAATTATTATTAGGTAATCTTTCTAGTTCTAATAAAGTAAATACCACGCAAATCACAGAAGATATTCAGGATATATTTGTTATATTTTAATACCATCCAATTATGAATCTGGTAGGTGAAGCCTTCTTTCATATTATTAAAAAAACTTTCCATCATTGTAACACTTTGGCCAGGATACATACTTTGAGATGTAGGTTTTTGCCAATAATATTTATAATAATTCTGCAGAAGCCTACACATTTTTTTATACTGTTATTAATAATATTTTTAGCCACTACTCAATAGATAATTCAGAAGTTTTTGCAAGTTGAAGAGTCTCAGCCTTACGTTTTTGCCTCATTCAATAATTATGTGAATGATTACTGGCAGAGTGGTCATGACAATATCCCGAATCAGCATCAATAGGAAATTCACAACCACTAAAAAGACAGGGTCTTTTTAGTGAATTCTTTTCATACAATTTCCAGTGCCTATAACATCCTTCAGGAGGCCAGCATTTATTTCTACAAATAATGCTATCCTCTTGATATATGCGTAAGTAAGATGAGCCATAGGCGTATTTTAGGATATAAAACCCTCTTTCACTTTTAATTTTATAATAAAACATGTATTTAAATTAATTGATATTATAATGGAATAAACTATCATTTCATACTTACGCTATAGACATAATGCAAAAAACAGTACTCAATATACTAACCGGTCGATGAGTCAATCCAAATGGAAAGTTATTCTAGAAGTGTATTCATGAAGATTACAGATACGCTGATAGACTTTCAGATTATTTAGAAAATATTAGAACTATGTATGCTGATGAATTCTAATTAAACCCTTGGCTAACTTTTACCATTCAGCCTTAATTCTGCCTTTATCTATCCTAGCTAGTAAATCAGATATTCGGTAAAAGTTTCCTATTAGTGTGAAATCTGCCATTGAAGGTGGAATGAGTTTATTTACTCTTGAAAAAAATAGACAATCATTGTTCCAGAATCTAATGCAAATAAATTATCACAGCAATAACTTGACTATACTAATCAAAATGTCTTAGGATTGTAAAGATATGAAAGCTTGGAAAAATGACACTCTCATGAAACTTCTCCATCATCTGAATTTAGCCTCTTCAAAGTATAGACTAGATGCTTTATATGATGCATTCACTAAGGCAAATGTTTTGGGATCAGAACATATATTAGCTATAACGCGAGCACTTTACTAAGACATAATTACGATATAGAAAAATTTGTTTATAGCTATAGAACCCCCATTCCATGACCAGATATTTTTTTCACATATCATATCTATCTGCAGTTTTCAAATCGATAAAATACCCTTTTTATTAGGTCATAGGTTATATTATTATTTTCGCTTATCTGACCTCACCGATCATGAACGGGTACTAGAGGGAATGTGTAGTAAATTATCAGGAATATTTTTCTGAATTGAACTTTTTCCTACTTAATATAATCTGAATAACACAGATTAATCTAACTATCATCCTATAATCTACATACCACTCTATATAATATCTGCTATTACAACTAAGTTCGTTACAGACCACAAACTTACCAAAGAAATGAGCCTTGAAGAGCTTAGCCAATATACGTTAGAAATACTTGAGCTCTTGACAACTGATGTGCCAAAGGTAAATAAGAAAAAAAGGCATCAGGTTCGTAATCACCTTCAAAAAGGATATAAGTTTAGCAAAGAATAGGCATATGTATTAATTTCTCATGAGAGAATTGGACAAAGAAAAAGACAAGTAACTTCTAAAGAAGAGAAACCAGCTGGAGATGTGAATATATATCAAGTATGCCTTGATAGTACTTGTTCTGAGAAGACTATTAAAGAAACAGCTCAACGTATTATTCAGGATAATCTTAATGAAAGAAATGTAAAAGTGATATCTAGAACTTTAATCGAAACTGCCTCTAGCCCTATTGCTAGTTTGTCTCGTCTCTCTAGGCTTCGAAGAGAATTGGGGGACCTCAATGCTTCAAAAGAATTAATCTCCACAATATTAAATAAAAAGACAACTTACGCATCTAATAAAATCCAGCAGGAGCATACTGAGCAACGTAAAAATAAAGGGTTTCACTTTCTGGATCACTTCTCATTAGAATCAGTTAAAAAGGGCTAGAATTGTATGATGTATCTAATATACCTGACAAACAGGCCCTAGCTGATGTAATGATTATGCTCTGCATCCGCCCTGCTGAAATTAAAAACTTGCGCATATCTAATAGAGGTGTAACTGGATACGCAAAAAACTGAGGTCAATCAGAATATTCCTAAAGCATTTAGATCACTAGAAAAAAATGAGAAGCGGGCAAGGCAATTGCTTACATGGATTCATGAAGCAATCGTCTCCAGATGTTAAGGGATCCAGGAAAGCCTAGATCTACATACTTAAGTGCATTTCTAAAAAAGAAGAATTTATTCCTAAACCTTATATGCCACTACTTCCTAACTCTTTACGTAAATTAGGAGTAGTGTTTGCAGTTGTAGCGAGTGGGATTAGGAATCTATCAAAAGCTAATATTATTGCTAGTCAAGCATTAAGGCATAGCCCTGACAATCATACTGTTCCATCTGATAGATATACTATAGTTAATTTTCGCAAATGAGGGCAACCTTATAATCAGGCAGAGGTATTCAAGTTCTTTGATGAAAACTGATCATATAGATGGGTTAGAGGGTGTATTTATATATTAAACCCCAGAATATTATTTATTAATTTATTTTTTTGTTTGAAACAAGATATAGTGTATATAATATATCACAAAAATGGTAACCAATCAAAAGCATTCATCTAATAGTACAGATATCGAGTAGAAAGTTATCAGACGTATAAAGAAAATAGCCAAATTATTTAGACCTAAACAAGATGCAAATATGTATAATGTGCTTTCCGTTGAAAATAGAATACTTAAGAAACAATTGGAAGATTATCATTCCCAACCTAACACTTTAGAAAGGAGGTAAAAAGGTTGAAGAAAAATGTGAGATCCTTAAAAGACGAATTAAAAGTTATAGACGAATATGTGGATAGGAAACTGTAGTCAACTTAATATAAGAAATAGCTTTCTCACCAAAGATCAAAAAATACAAGAGTTCCTACTATTCATCTGAGTCTTTCGAAGATTCTGATTCAATTGAGATAAATCAGGTAAGAGATAAAAAGACCATTCCTCATAAGCACCAAAAAAAAGTATGACGAAGAAAGGTTAAATGATTTGTAGTGATGAATTAGCCAATCAGACTGAGTAATAATATACACTATCATTCTAGAACATCAGATTGTTCTCTAACGCTTGTGGATAGATTTATTTATTATTTTTGAATATTATATACCATAATAAAAAATGATGATTGTGAATTGTGTAGTCGAAGTAAATATCCCTATTGAGGCATCAATTGATACATCTACTGATGTAAATTGCATTAGCCAAAAACATATTGATGAATTAGGAATTACATATCACAGTAAAAGCAATAGCATTGTAACTTCGGGTGAATCCTATTCCATATTAGGAAAAGTCAATCTGCATATTGGTTTTGAAGATGGTAAGAAGCATAAAAGCACACCTATTGAATTTATGGTTCTTGGGCCAGATTGGCCAGATTCTAGTTTAAGCTTAGAAGGTCCTTGGTTTCAAGAAAGTAGTGCAACTTTAGATATATGCGATTCAAAACTATTATTAGAAGATAATTTTGCGATCCCATTTAAAGAAGTAGACTATATTTCGACATTATTTGATAGTCAGATCTGAGCTATGACTGATTTTTCCAACCAATAGTCAGGAGTAGTGATCATCAGCTCAGAAGATTTTTTCTTATTGAAAGATATTCTAACCCTATAAAAATACATACAGTTAATTTACTAGAACAACTTCCGCCAGAACTAATACCATTCATTTTAAAGTATCTTTCAAAATGGAACCTAAAAAATTCTCGCAGTATAAATGATATATGGAAAGAGAGGTGAATCATGTATTATCTAAGAGAATAAAATTTCAAATGTGGGGATTGGCTCAGGGTAATTATATGGTAAAGGAATTTTATTTGAAGCTGAAAGAGTGTAATTTAAGCAATGACTATCCAGAATAGCTTCTTAAAAATCAATTTCTCAGAGGATTATCACCTGAGAATACGTTTAAAGTTTTTATAGATGGTTTACAGGTACTTGCATTAGATGAGATAGTGGAAAGGCTTAGTTCGAAGCAGCGATCTACCAGCTCAGCTAATTTATTTTTCGATTAAAAATATGATAACTATAAAAACTAATCTATTATGAAAATAGATAGCCTGTTTCCTAAAGGAAACGATACATTTGATTGGCCAGATCAAACATTTCCTTCAAATTCACCAGCGTTAAAACCTGAAAAGGCTAAAGATAGTCCAACACTGGTTCAAGATAACCAATTACTAAATGAATTTTTTGAGGCATATAAGAAATATAAGGCATATACTCCATTAACAGATT